TCTCACCTTTGGCTTGGACAGCACATGGGACATGTTACATTCAGTACATTTCTGATGATAGAAATCTATATTCTGGGCAGCACTTCTCAACTTTGAAAAATGGTATTTAATTACTCTGCCCTATGACTCATTAATCTTTCTTTATTGTGTTTGGTTTTGGTTTTTCTAAGTTAGGTTATGAGGAGCGAGGAGGAGAGGTGAGTAGTACAGAGGATGTAATGTTTCTTTCCTGTGCTGAGCACCATGTAGTGCTCAGGTATTCCTGAAAGCTATAGCTGCACCAGAGAAGTCTCTAATGAGCCAAGAAAATTGGCCTTATACTTGAGATCCCTTCAAAGTTACTAAATTTGATCAGGCTTCTTTTTATAAATTGTTCCCATCCAGCCAAGAAGCAAACGGTGCCTGAGCTGCCTCTTCAAATCCAGCTGTTTGTGCAACTCCTCAGTCGCTGGTGAGACTTTCTGATTCGCAGAGCTTATAGGCAAAGGTGAAGCCAGGATGAACAAGGGCAGATTAGATAAAGTTACAGTCACAAATGCCTGATTTTTTCCATTTTAAGAGTTGTGTGGCGGAGATGAAGTTTACACTGAGGAATGTTTGCAGTGTTGATCTTATGCTGAGGGAACATTAATACCTCGTAACTCTGTTCTGCACCGAAGTCATGCAGAAATAGCTGAGGATAAACATGCTTCATCTTGAAACCGCCTCTGCTAACAGAGAGCTCCTGCCTGTGGCAACCAGCTGACACTGAATCTCTGCACAGACCACAGAATGTAAATTGGAAGGGATCTCTGCAGCGCATCAAGTCTGACACCCTGCTCAAGGCAGGGACCACTCAGAGAAGGCTGCTCAGGGCGGCGAAAGTCTTGACACAGTACTTGCTGGAGACACGGAAGGAATTTCCTCAGTTACTCTACTGAGTAACTTGATGTTACTCAGGGTCGCAGTTCCCTTTTGTGTTGCTGATACATTATCCTTCAGACTGAGCATGCCAAAACATGAAATTCTCATGAGGAGTAAAGACATTTGTGGCGTAGCCTCTGATGGGGAAGCAAAGCATGTGCCGCACTTCTGAATGCTACAGCCATTGCTATACCGTACCTGATCCGCTGTTACAGTGCAAGGTTATGGGACTGAGCCGTCAGAGCAGCAGTACCACTGAATGGCTCCATGCAGGCAGCGTGCTGGATTTGCTCCCCTCACCTCTGGATGCAAACAGCACATTAATACTGGTGCTGCTGAAGAATGGGCAGCAATTAAGCAGTTGTCTTCTCTTGACCATTTAATAGGAAAACAAGTGGTCTATGTACCATGATGAATAAGCTTTATGCCTCCACCTGATCAAACTCCCACCGTTGCCTGGTGATGCATGGTACTTCTCCACAGAGACTTTCAAGAGGGTTTGAACTGTTGATGGCTCAAAAAACATTTAAAAAAACCATCTGTCTTGGACTATGTAGTCTCCCTGCAAGTGGTTTTAAATCTCTCAGGAAGCCTATCTCCAAAGGTTGAGTATTAATGAGAAAATTTAAAGGCTTTAAATCGACTACAGGTTGATAGGTTCATGAAGACCTTTCAGCAGAAAATATCTCCTTCCAAAATGGGGAGACATTAGAGTGAGATACAAAGTTAGATTGCTGTAAATTATGAGAAACCTGAATTTTTAACTGAGCTCAATTCACATATACTAGAGAAGCCTGTAAGACAGAGTGTTCAAAAAGAAAGGGAAATAAATGGCTTATTAGCCTTACTTTTTATCACTGCATCTAGGCAGGTCTCATCTTCCTATTTACTTGTTTGTCTCATCCACCGTTACCACTTCTCCCTTGTGATGTGAGCTCTCCCCTTCTCTTGGGAAGGAGCTGTCAGCTGCTGTGAGTTTGCACAGCATCTCGCACAGTGGACTAAGGCCCTAGAGGCCATCAAAAAGTAGGAAATAGTTCACACCGTGATACCAGCCTTCCCAAAGGCTAACAACTCTGAGGTGGCTGTTGGATGATCGCTCAGAATCAGATGCTTCGATCCAACTTTCAGCAAATAGCTAAATTTGCTGAAATTCATCTCATCCTAATGCAGACATTTTAAATAGGTCAGAAAATCATGCTCCAGAAATGCCTCTTTACTTACTAGTGAGGGAATATTAAGGTGACTACCTTTAATGAGATGCATGTGGACTGCATTGAAGCCAAGTCCTATTTGTATGAGGATTACTATAAAAGTAGACATACAGGAAGGGAAAAACTGCTCTGAATTTACCAACTTACATTTAAACACATTTAGGCACTTACTGAGCAAGCATCATTACTAGGCTGGGAAAGCGATCACATCTTCCCTAGGGCCCACCTCACCCACTTTTGGATATGTCCAATGCAGCAGTCCACATGTGAGCTAGTGACCGTGAGCTCCCCTTATACTCAATGGGAAGACATAAGCGTGCTCACAGCACAGTGTATTTCACCTACTTGAAATACCTGCCTTAGGATGAAATGAACAATGCCCCAGAGGTACATTCTCTTCACTGGCCATCCAGTTTTCCTCCGCAGCATCAGCAGGAAACCAGGTTCTGGAGCTGCCCAAGAGCAGATGCGCCTCAGAACGTCCACCTTTGCTCTCCGCGAGGAAGATGACAATGCTGGGAACGTCTAAAAGCAACCCCTAGGCTTCTCTCTCTATTAGGAGCGAAGGAGGTTTCAGCCTAAAAGGCAAGGAAGAATCTAGGATGAAGGACAGAGCTAGATCCTAGACAGAAGAGGTGATTTTCTCTGTCCTTAGCTGCTAAGAAAGCAAAGGGATAAGCAACGTGAAAATCACAGAGAAATTACTGGCAAAAGGGTGCAATAAACATGTTAAAAATGGTGTTACCAGTACCTTGGTACAGTGACACTGATGACAGAAGGAGCTGAGGAACATGTCTTTTTCCAGACTGATCTCTCTGAACAGTACATGGCATGCCTGGAATTTCTGTGTAACATCATTATTGGATTTAATTGCTGCAGGAGACTGTAAAGCTTTTCCTATCCCACAGTGACACTGCTGATGTCAAATGGTGACAGAATAGGGTTCTTCGCATTTACAGATTTCCTATACAACTTCCTATTACTGCTCAAACTTAACAATAATTTATCCTTCTGTGCCCTACAAATTCTTCAGGCGGCTGAAAATGCATTCAAACCAAGCAACCCTGCTAGTTTACTGATTCTTCTGCTCTGTTCATAATTACCACCCTGTAACAGGTGTTACATAGCATCTAAAACACATGGAAAGTCTTTCCAGTGAATGGTATTTCCTTTGCATATGTGATGTAGCTGAAGATTTCAGGCATCCTCTTCTAATTATGCAGTAAAATATGTAGCACCAGATATTGTGTGAGAAGAACAGAAACATTCTGTAAAACATTTTTTTCCCCCCTCAGGATACTTCTGGCATATTCTAAGGAGGAATGAGATTGGAGAAGTTATCGCTCTTTCTGACCCTTAAAGCAAAACCATTTTCAGTGGACTGTTATGCCTGGAAAGAAATAATCCTCTACCCTTTCAGCAAGGTAAGGGGGACCATCAAAATGTAGTAAGAGTTTCACCTGCCTCCTCAGAAAAGGTTACCAAGTGAAGAGCATTTTGTAAGGCTGGCTCTGTGGATGAGAGTATGGGCAATAGGTTTCCCTGCTTACAGAAGGACCACGGACAAGGAGCTTTTAAAAAAGGTTCTGCACATAGATTCACTCTTTGCTTGTTCGTGGCTTACACTGCCTCACCATCCTCTGCAGGCGAGGCAAAAGCACTGCAAATGATGCAGCCTGTATCTAAGACGAGGAACCATCCATGGGGACGTACGAAGTGACCGGCAGGGAAGCCCTCGCCATCAGACCCGAGCGTTGCCATCAGATCCTGGGGACCGGCCAGCACAGGGGATGGACGCGGCTGCCTCCCACCTCCTCCTCACTGCATCCTGTGAGCCTGGGCTTCCTCTTCCCAGTACAGAGACTATCCCAAGACGAATGATAAAGTAATTATTCAGTTCTTCAATGCACACTTCATTTCCCTTTTCTGAATCACAGTTCAAGTCCCTTTTAGATGTACCCTTGATATCAGCACAGTAGTCTAACTACAGAGTCCTAACTTTAAAACAAACTACATCAATACTGTATAATGGATAGGATTCGGTTTACATGCCAGATACATATGCAAGTATGTATGTACTTTGCAAAAAAGCACTCGAAGTTAATTAGTTTTTAAACTTATAGGCATATATTTCAAATTTTCTTCTTTTTTTCCTTAGGAGCTTGTTGCTTTTCAGTGCAGCAGTACCGTACGCTACTGTGTTAACAGTATCAGACTACTCGGATGCGTCCAGAATGCTCTGATAAGGCTCCAGTGCTGAATGCGTCCCGAGGGCTCTCTCCTCCTGCCAAATCCTAGGGGAGACAGGGGTGCCTCAGCTCCTCAGTGTATCTGTTGCCCCATCGTGCTTTGTAGTAGGGAGACAGACTGGAATTGCTGTTTAGTCCTTCAGTTCACTGGACAAAAGTCATCTCTATGCACAAGTCCTGTGCACCATCTAAGGTCCTCTTTTAGACCTGAAATTAGGATGTAAAATGGATATAAATGGTGTAGAGATCTGACTTTGGTTGCCTGCAGAGGGGTGAATTTCACCTACTAGGAACAGCTACAGCCAGGTTTCTGAATCCGCATGAAAGTGCTGAGAATTCGCACCGTTTATTGGCTTGGCTGGGGAATGAAGATGCTCACAGGAAATGTTTGACACTTTTGCAGGAATTTGGCTTATTTTGTACTAGAGAACAGATACGCCATACCTGAATTTCTAATCTTATTGTACTGGCATCAGAGTAACTAGAAACCACAAAATGTAGCATGGAAAAAAAGAGAAAAAGGAGAGTAGACTATGTATAGATATATTTACATCTACATACATCTACATATAGAAGCTTCTGTTCACTGGAAACCCTATAAGCCACTGCCTGCAATAGCATCCATCCTAAGGGAATTCTAGAGATGATTCTTAAGAGACTGAGGAGATGGGGTTATGAGGTGAGCCCATCTGTGTCAGCACCTTATCCAGCCATTGCAACGGTCCATGCAGGTGGATCTCAATCCAGCAGGGCGTGCTTGTAACATCTTGGCGATGATACTCTGCTCCCCAGCCCTATAAAAGCATCAAAGGACCAAAAAGTGAGGTTTGGCTTTTTTTTTTTTTTTTTTTTTTAAATTACATCACAACTCCAGTGCTGACAGTCTAACACAACTACAGGTAGTCCATCACCCAAGTTCCCAAGATTTAACACTTTGTCCTAGGGATAATTCTCTCTAGAAACTTTTCTCCATTTCAAGGTCATTGTTATCACAGTTATCAGGGACTCCATACTATTAAATTAAAAATGCTCAGTCACACTTCCAGATGCTGAGACCGACTGGCATGGAAAGGCCTGTTTCCAAACTTGGCTGCCTGCAAACAGCCCCTGGGGAATGGTCCCTGCTGTTCGCACCCCAGAGGCATGCCCAGGCAAGTGTGCCAGACTGCTGTCTGGCACAGACGAAAAGCAGGCCGGGCCCTGTCACAACACTTTAACAAGAACTGGGAAGGATCCTGGGCACGGCTTCCTTTATGGGAAGAGATGCATCCTACCAGTCTGAGACTCTAGAAGTTCTAGGTATTTGCCTGAACCTCTGGAAACTTCTGGCAAGGTTCCTATGTACCATACCTAACCTACGTATAGACATTTTCCATAGGTTTTCTACCCTTGAACATGTCCTCTTTTCCCACGGGAGTTCCTGGCTGTCTGCGGTGGGAAGTCCTGCAGTAATTTCTCCAGCTCTGTCAGGGCGATAAGGGATACGGAGCATCTGACAGAAAATGGGGATGTGGTACTGGCAGGCAGAAAAGAGAACGAGAAGTCCCCGCGCCTCAAGCGGGCACAGTGTCTGCTTGTTAAGCAGGCAGCCTGATTTCACAGCAACACAAGACATCCAAGTCACAGCCCGAAGTCTCGCAGCTCACCCGCTGCCTCACTGCCAGAACCCAACTCGGATTTCCATCGGGCAATGTGCAAAACACGGTCCCGCTGCAGGATGAGGCTCGCTCTTTGTTCGTGGGCCGCGGATCAGAGGAGCTGAGCCTTACCTAGCATTATGCTAGTCAGGCGGGTTGATATCCTCGTCATGAAAAAAGGACATGGAGGCATATTAAGATTGATGCCTGCCAAAAGTACCTAAATTGTAGAGTGCTGAACAACTCGGACAACTGAGGCTGCTAGAACCCATTTCTCTAGATGATCAGCTGCAAAACTAGGATCGACACCAAAACTAGATGCCATAATAAGTGGTCTGGGTAAAATCCATTTCTACTTAATGAAGAAAAGTGGGAATAAAGCAGAAGAGTAAGATATGGACCCACCAAAGCCCAAAGAGTACTTTTAAAGAGGCAGCAATTTATCAGGCTAGAAAGGGCCTGTGTTCGTAGGCACCTCAGATTAATGTTCTGGAAATGTTTATGTAAAATGCCACTCCTTAAATCAGCGCAGTCAGACTTCTGAGTTGGTGAAGTCTTAAGTACTCAGCTGCAGTGAAGATACACGGCCAGAAAGGCAAGTGTCAGAGGAGTCGGTGCACCTCTGCTGTCTGGTGGGACAGAAAATCCAGAGGAATAGCAAGCCCAACCTGCCCCATTTGGAGGAGCCTGGCAGCACGTGCGGCTGGCTGCCCATCTCCTTCTGCTGGCAACTCCCAAACCTTTGCAGTGCTGCCGTCCCAGGCTGTCGGATGGAGCTCCCAGCATGGGAAACGCCAGGAGGGCCGGACCCCCTGTGCCTCCCATACATCACTCTGGGGCTGCAGGTAGCCTCCTGCATCCCTGGGGCTGAAACAAACCTGGAGGTGGAGCTCTCTTAAAGAGGGAATAAAAAGGAAAACAACTTGCAAAGCTGCAGTGCTGTTTTGCTTAGATGGTGGGAAGAGGATACTGATACCCCACGGGGAGACCAGAAATGTGCCTTCTGGCATGGGGGAGATCAGCTGAGGGGTCCTGCTGCTCCTGCCAGCCCTTCCCAGCTCCTGTGGGCAACAGCTCTCTCCAGCCCAGGCTCCAGCCACATCCCAGGGCGCTGAGCTGCCTTGTGTAGCGGAACGGCCAAGTCTGCCGAGTTGTCCCCTTAGCCCCAAGACCTGGGGAAATGCGTGAGGGAGGGTGCTGGGTTCAGACCTCTGCTTGGAGAAACTCTCCAGCCTCTCCACTTTGTGCTTCAGCTGCTCATCTGTGGAGCAGGGACAACAGCCATCCTGCTCTGGTTATCAGCAGCGATGGACAGAAACCGCTGTCTGCTCTCACTGACCATACACTCACATTTGCCTGAGGGTTGAGCTCCTCCCAGCTGCTCCATGGACACACGAAGGGTATCAGAGAGGACAGGACCTTCACCTCCCTCTGTCCCATGTCCAGAAGATGACACAGTCCCGGCAAGTTTCTCACATCTTGGTTCCTACCCTTCCCCACCTCCCAGCCGGCAGCTCGAGCATTAGTGGGGTAGGAGGCAGGGTCTCCAGCCCTTTGGCTCTGCTTGCCCTACGGGCTGTAAGTGATGAGCGGCATCTGGACACGAATCAGGGGAGAGGCCACAGGTCTGCTCTGCACCTGGGGCTCCTGGTGCGTGGCTCTGCCAGACAACATGCTCCTCTGTGCTCTGCATACCCAACACCCAGGGGCGTACCTGTCCCCAGACTGAACACATCGGGGTTCACGCCTTGGGAGAAAAGTAATTTGAGAAGACTGGGTACAGGAAAGGGTCTTTACAGGCCAGGAAGGAAGAACCTAGATGAGATTTGCATAGCCATTTTCCAAAGGTCATGGGAAAGGGTTCAAAATAACTCCTCACTCTGGTCTTCTGGTGCCTGAGGCACTAAGTGGCTGCTATTATTTCAACAAAGCAAGGTGATAATATGGCAGCAGCATTATTTAATGCATCAACACCACCATTTCTGCTGCCATGCTGGGCATGGAGGCAGATAACACATCAAAGAGACTGCCCCTGAGTTGCTGAGATAATGAAAATACTGCGTAACTGGCTACACTGCCTTTACAAACAACATGCCCATTCATGTCTTCCATTAAAGAAAACGCTGTTTGTTGGGTGCCTTGCTTTCTTTTTTTTCCCCTAATGCTTGCATGTGAGCAAGATGTCAGTTTCTTCCCAAGAACAAAGAAACAGCGTGGTCACAGGCAGGGAGATTTTGGCTTGGACCCTTGGGAGAAGTTACAGGGTACTCTTAATGCTCTCAGAGAGTTAAGGAGATGGGTCCCCAAGGATGGCTGGAAAGAGTCAGACCAGAAAGCTGTGTGGGACTCAACTCATCTGCTTTGCAGAACGTAGGGGAACTGGGCTCAAGCCTCAAGCAGTTTTGTAGTATCTTAGATGTGAATACAATCAGATTGATTCAGTCATTTGTATAGAACCAAATCTGCAAGACAAAGGGACATACTCAAGCCACTTCTTATGGTACCTAGCAGAACCAACTGGCTTCTAATGGTGCAACTTCTCTAGTTTGCAGGCTGAACATTGCTGCTAGCTCTCCCCAGCAGCACTATAGGAAGTCAGTCCAGCGCATCTGTAAACAGTCTTGAAATACTCACCATTCTCTGGGGTTTAGATGCTGCAATAGGCACCTAAGTAAATCCTAAGTGCTAAAGGGAGTCAAGAGATCTTATTCTGGTGAGAAGGCCATTCAGAAGATTTAAGAAACTCCCACAAAGACTGATACATCACACACAGAGCAGTCAGACTGCAAAGTTCAGATATGAAAGACACGGAAACAGTAATGACTTTGGTGGCCTCCTGTCTCTTCCAAATAACGGGGGAAGGTCACATGTTCTTTTGGGTTTTGTATTGTGCTTGCAAGAAGCCCTTCTGGTCGTGTGGCTGGCCAGAGTGAATGTCATCAGAAATTAAGACAATCTCTTGCCAGGGATCAGACAGGTGGAAAACAACAACAATTCCCAGCAGGTTCACTGGGGGCTAAAGGAGGACTCAGGCGTTTCTTGACTGAGACCATATATACCAATCTATAGTGATGGTGAGACTGTAAATTAGTCTAGACATGAAGACATTCCTTTCAGATCTATGGCTCTGCCAAGCTCTATTGCAAACCAGTAATGATAGGAGACATCCCAGCTGCCTAAGATATGTGCTACAACATTTACATATTGCTAAGCCCCTCTAATTTGAGCTCTTTATGCAATCAATGGGGGAACATCACCATGCAATCTCTGCTTATTTTCCGCAAAAAGCCTATGGAATACCTGATTTTTGGAATCTAAGAAATTTCCAGGTTGACCACAAAAGCTACCGATTTTAAGCACCTAAAAGTTTAAGGCAACACTGGGAAACAGGCAGTCTGAATTGCTATTTGCAAGCTGGGTGTCTAAATCCCCACTTTGGAAGGATTTGATGGGCTCCAGTTCTGCACCAAAGCTAGCAAGTGATGGGATTTGCCTGTTCAGAAATGCAAGAGAAAACAAAGAATCCTTACTTTAACAAAGCTCATTCGAATAGTACACATCTTGGTCAGCTCATACACCACTTCAAAACCATGATTGACTGACTGGGCAAGCAGCTGGGCAAAGAGCTGGTTGTTGAAGATCTTGAGGCTGCAGCCACTGGGGATCTTGCAGACAGTGGCTGGGTGGAAACCATGCTGGTAGTTACAGTTGCGGCTTTGCACAAAAATACTGCTGTCGCTGACACATTCAGCATAAACCTCCCCACCAACATAGTAAAGATGAACACCTTGAAAAAGAAAAAATAATGTGTATTATTTCTCCATTGTTCACAACACGCTTTATACCAGTAATTCTTTCAGTATTTTACTGGTGTGGGCATACAAGCCCAGGATCATTCCAGGCGCTCAGTGCCTATACATTGCCTTTTAAAAGACAGTAAACTGTGTGCAAATCCATGTATCTATACAATGGATCCACCGACATTAAGAGGAAATGGTCATAAACACTATTTCGAGGTACTGGTCTAGGAGAAAAGTCTTGGCATGTGATGTTTTTCTTTTTTTCTCAGTGAAGGTTCGTTTACTTCCTTAACCCAACAGCATAGTACTTTATGACAAGACACACACACATAAACATATGTCAACCATATACAAAGCATGGATCAAAACTGTCAAAGAACTGACAAATCTGTTATGCATTACACATCTAAACATATTTTCACTGTTGAGCACATGCACGCTGACCAAGACCCACTTCACTGCACGCTATTTTTTTACTACAGGATCCTATCTCATGCAGTTCAAACACAGCATGGTGTGTACTTAAAATAGCTTGTCTGTATTTTGCTTTATCCACCACATCAGAACCATGTATTTGCATTTACATGATGTGACTTACTCATCAGATCCTGTTCAAAGTGACCTTTAGCAAGAAAATGGCTGATTTCCTTCTGGACTTTTCAGTGCCCGAGTGACTTCCTAACTCTTAAATTTTTATCGTGCCTTGCAGAAATGAGGATGGAAGCATTTCTACCCATTCAAAGACTCTGCCCCCCCCAGGATGTGGGCTTGCATGAAAATATACCAAAATTGGTGGGAGAATTTATCTCAGCCCAATTCAGCAACCTTAAAATTAGGGATCTCGTGTAAGAGAATTGTCTAGATGCCTTCTCTAGTTGATAGATGATGAGAGGCACTGTGACCAGATGATTCACTCCATCCACTATGGGGTGCCAGCTTAAACTGATGGAAGCCTGTGCAGGTGCTGAAAAGACTCTCTCGTTCCCTGCTCCTGCTGCTTCTTCCCACAACTGCTTTCATGCTGGCAGCAATGGCTGGGGATTGGGCAGCTATCCAGACTGGGGAACTGAACCAGCTAATAAACTTAAAAACAAACAAAACAAAATAAAAGAAGATTTGTTTGCAGTGAGATCTTCATCAGTGCAAGTGTGGCAATGGGGACCCAGACTGCTTAAACGTGAGCATGGAAATCACACCCTGAAGGGGGCCAAGTCATCCTCTGAAGATGCCCAGACATTCACCTTCCCATGGCTAGATTAGGTGAGATGAACCCCTCCCATCCCATGGCCACGAGATGTGGAAGGACTCTGTTCTCATAAAAAACGCCACTAAATAAAAATAATATCCTCCTCTCTATTCCCAGGTACAACATTCAAATCCTTACATACAAATGCACATGTTCATAGAGTCTCAGTGGACTGCCTGCAAAGCTAGTGATAACTACCCTTTAATAATTCAGTTGTAATTAGTTTTATTCCTGTTGTCTTTCATGCAAAAAAGACTGGTTACATATTCCCAGTCTGTTCATCATTCTGTGGTCATGACAGCAAGGGGCAGCAGCACATTCTTAGGACAAAACCAGCCTCTAAACAGAAGGGAAAGGCTCAGGGAAAAGCAGGTTGAGTGGGAAAGGAATCTGGGAAAAATACGCTCTCCCATAGACTTCCAGGGTGACTCAGACGGGAACCTTAAAGTCTGTCTTCAAGCCATCACTTGACTTTTACTTCTATGCACCCACGAGATCTCAAATTAGACGTGAGTGGCAGGGGGTGTGACTCAGAGCACACGCTAACTAGTATTGCACTGGGAACACGGGTTAGGTGACAACTCCATTAGACTGGTTGTCAGCTCCAGTCGAACTGCACCAGCCATTATGGGGTGCTGCACATGGTGACTGCTATTCCTTGACCTATGTCTCCTTTCCTTCTGTGGAAGATGGACAAAAGGGAAGGACTCAAAAACACAAAGGTCCTAGCTGACCTTGATGGAGTCCATATAACTTTCTGAAATAAACAGATAGAGTGAGAACACAGGGTAGGGAGAGAAGAATAAGGACATAAATGTTCCCCACGTTTCAAATCTTCAGGTGTGGCTACTGATTTAGGGTCATCACACTTCTGGGTGCTAAGGTGGAAAATTTTAAAGGCTGGATTTTCAGAGTATATCGAGTAACCCAACTTCTGAAAAAAATGAATGCTTTCAAAGGCATAGCCCAAACTGTGTACTACAATAACAAAACCACCAAAGTCACTTCTGAAAGCAGAGGCTACAATTTGCTTTTTCCTGGTGGACTTTTTAAAAGCAATAAATACAGCAGTAATGAAATGTCAGTGTGTATTTCCATTCTTCTAGTATTCATTCACCAGTGACAAGCACCCTCAAGGAAGCCAAGCAGCTGAATGCATATTTGTAGAAGACCAAATCAGAGGTCCGCATGTTTTAGTGGGATTTCATTGCTCTCTGCAGAAACTGGGAATTCAGCAGTCTCCAAGCATCCACATCTTTTTGACACTCTGATGAGAAATCCCCTTTTTGCCCTTGACGTCTGACTGCTGAAACAGGTCCAATTGCTAGTAGATGTTGCATTGTGTTCTGGATTGTTTTTAGCTTTGATGTGGTATTTCCAGGAAACCGTTTCACGCTGATACACTAGATGACAATTCAATCACATATCCTTATCCTACTGAGCTAATCTTGTTTACTCACTCCTTTTTCTCCCCTGTTAACATGTGACAATTGTATCCATTTCAGTAGCTTTCATCTGTCCAGAATGCCTTTGAACTACACACTTTTGGAGCTGCTCTGTGCTCTTCTGCAGGCCTGTGCTAGTGCCACTTCTACTCCACTTGAACATGTTTTTTTAAGATTTGCATAAATAGGGAAGAAGAGCAGTAAAATTAAGGATCTCTGATATACTAAGCTACTCTCTCGACAACCTGCTCCCTTCCCTTGGGCAGATTCCTAGTGTACGACTTTAAAGGACTTTTAATCAGTGAAGACAGATCTTCAGATTTGAATGGATGAGGACCATTAGCATTTAGCTCATGTTCTTTCTATTCTGTCTCTTCCTCTTTTTGGGCAGAAAGTCACAGGATGTAACATCCTCAAATGACAGCTTTGACTGGGATCTTTTGTCATTCTTCGTTTAGGGCTGGGCTCAGCTTTGATCTACACCCCTCTGACAGCTTATGCTGATAGAGAAGCTTTGCTTTATTTTCAGAGTAAGTTAGAACTAGATGTACTACTCATTTCTGCCCCTCACAACAAACCACTACAACAGACACTTGTAGCATCACACTGGCTTGACACAGTGCAACACAAGTGTTTTCCCTTCTGGAGAAAAGTGCAAGAGCTACGTACAACACCTCCTGCATGAGCCTTCAGGTTCACTGTTGCTTGTAAAAACGATGTCACATTTGTCTCGGAGCTTCCCCATATTCAGTCATTCAACACTAGACTATCAAGAGCCAATTAAAATACTGCTTTAGGCCTGGGAAATGAGGTGAGGTTGACGAGATAATAGGAGTGGAACAATTAGAGTTAATTAGCCCAGTGGGAAATCCTTTCCCAGGCAGCTACTGGTGAGAGGCTGGGTTGGCAAGATAATGAGTCTAGACTGGATATACCAGAACAGGCAAAGCTTCGCCTGCACAGAGAAGTGGCCGGTACAGGGCTTCTGACTCACCACCACAAACAGCAGTAAGTTCTGGGAGAACATCAGGTGCTACGCAGCCCCAGTGATCTGGGATGGAGTGTGTGTGGCCAGGCATGCCCAGGTGTGGTCTCCTCGTACTTGTCACCAGTAGCGCATGATCCTGCATGCACGGGGTATACAAACCCCAGCAGTGGAGCACACAAGGAAAACTGCTGGAGGGAGAATGCAAGACTTAGTTTTACTGGTGAGAAGTTGACAAGGCAGGGAATCAGACTGGTAGGGGGGAAAAAAGCTACAAAGGCAACTCTGGTAGATTTCTTCAGCTAAGTAACTCAACTACTAAGTGTTTCATCCATCTCCCTTTGTTATTTGGTGGGAGGAGAACCAGCCCTGAGGCACCAGCAATTATCATTTTAGTGGCATTTCAATGGCAATATTCCCAGTTGCCAGAAGCTCTAATAAATAAAATGAAAATACATACTGCTAAATTAGAACACACAAATATAAACACCATTTTTCTCTTTGCTGGCCAAGTAAATAGCTTTTGTAAGGAGCTACTCTGCTGATTGTTATCCAGTCAGAAAAGAATCAGCTGCTTTTCTTCTGTTTCAGAAGTAATCTCAGAGCTTTGATTTTAAGACGAGCACATCTGACAAATCAGCTAGGTTTGTAATGCAACGCACTGTTCTTTCAAGCTCTGAATACTCCCGAGAAGGGATTTCCTCTTACCTTTTCCTATGTGTCTCCTGGTGTTTTCTATAGTAGAGTTGCGGTTTACATTTGAGAGCAGTCCCAGGCAGAACCTGTTTTTGTTATTTGAGGGATCTGTAAATCCATCTATAAGGATACTTCGTGAGGAAGCCTGGAAAGTCTCCCCTACCCGGTTGTTGAGTTCATAGTAAGCAACTGAGCACCAATGTTGGGGTTCTTCATAGCAAACAGGCCGAAAGTCTGTAGGAAATAAAATTAATCAGCTGCTCAGGTCTCAGTAATATTTTTTAAACAATCATTCTCTGTTTTCTTTCCTCCCTCCCTCCCTCTCTCCTATCCCCCCACCTCCCCCCCCTCCCCAGCTCTTCATCTAAACAGTCACTTATGTCACGCTTTATCTCAACAGCAGCTTCTGTTTCTTCTTAATTTTATGACTGAAGCCCCAAACATGCAAAGGGCTGGTACACCAGCTTAACTCTAAGCCTCCAAGGAGTCCCACTTGTTCTTAAAAGTGATAATTCCACTGCATTAAATTAAGCACATGCTGACATTCCTTGCTGAACCGGGGCCCAGTCTCTACACTGAAAATAGTAAAGGATACATCTGCTCTGCACACCAGCAGAAGCTAGGGATGACAGATGGGCTCAAATCAAGTCAAAACTGAGCCAAGCCTTCAGCCTAATACCTAACTCTGAAGTTCAGAAGTAATCAATCACTCCCCCCAGTTTTTTTGCATGCTTTGGGGCTTTTCGCTTCCATGTGGGACCACAAGCAGAAATGCAGCAAGGTCATTTCTTTTGGATCTACCCCTGCCCATATTTTCTAACTCAGAGACAGAGAAAGACTCAAAAATGTAACAGAATCTCTGAGCCTCATTCATCCTACAGGAATTAGTGGGAAACCTTATCCTGCCTGCCCACCACAGGCATGTGAGCCTCCCTGCCCCCAGAGCACCTCTGTGCATAACCTCTAATAAACTTCCAACTAATATTCACTAGGGCAGTGATCAGGGATGGTAAACTATGGTCAAGAGATTAAAGTATCACGACAATTTGTTTAAGAGTATTGGTGTCTGATAACTAGTTATTATCTGGCCATTCTGTGTACCCATCTGTAATTAGCACTATCACCCTCATCTTCCTTCTGCTCCAGTTCTGTGATACATACATGTGTCCCTCACTGTTCCAGAAGGCTGGCATTATTTTTTTAATGTGCATGTCTGTGCGCAGTGTTCAGTCCTCATGCCATAAAGGACATTTGTTTAGGACTACAATATGCTGGACTAAAAGAACGATGGTGATTTTTCCTTTGCAGTAGCAGGAAGCCAAAGGAAAACCCAGCAGAGGAACTCCATTTCCCCTTGCTGCTCTGCAGCAATGGGCTTTGAATGGTGATGGCATCACCTGCCACTACTAGTCTGGAGGTAGTGGAGACCATGCTGGAGGGGGTTGAAGTTGCTTTGAGGGGAGCGAGGAGGATCTCAGACCCTTCTACTCTGACCACCCATGACCTCTCCCACTAAAGCATTCTTATATGAGGACGAAGAGTTCAGCCCTCTGTAAAAATCTCTTTGTACTTCACTGGAACATGTCCTTTTCTTTCCTAGCCAGCCAGCAATATATAACATTAATACAAAGATGGCAGTAAGAAAGGTCCCAACCACAAGGCTTTAAAGTACTTGAAACCCAGGACTGAAGGTGATAAAGAAATCGGTTCCGATATTGATAGTGCTCTCATGTGTTATATTGCCTCACCACCCTTGCTTTGCTATCTTTGTCTTTACAACGTAGATAACAGTGTTTGCTTTCATTAACAGCTTTCTAACTGTAGTAGTCCATGGATGCAAGTAAGGTCTAAACTCTAACTTCGCACATAATTCACTGAATTCTTAAATCAACCTATTCTGCTAGCTAATGGATAGGTCTAGTACACAGCCTTACTGAAAAACTCTCTGAAACCTATTACTACAGATCACTGAACCTTCTTGTTCAAATAACAATTTTGTTGCTTAACAGTTTTTCTTTGAAGAATAGTACAAATGGTTATTTACTTTCAGCTTCTCCATCGGCAGATTTACCTCCATTGGGCAAAGACAGCACTAGTTGACTTTCAGCTATTGCATCCATTGACCGCCCATTGTGGGTTCCTGGAGGTTCTCTTGCATGGTAAGGGGGGGGTGGAGTTTCCACTATTGGAAAGAAGGAAAGAAAGAAAAGAGAGACACCTAAATCAATATGTTGGTAAATTCTCCCTGGCTTTTCCTGGTGAATACTTAACTTCTTCAGCATTTTTTAGCTAGAGAAGGGCTGGAAACAGAGCACAAATCTGAACCTGACCTCCCTTCAGTCTCCAGATTAAGACCATTACATGTTCAGGGAGGATGGGAAGGAAAGGCTGTCATGTTGGACGTGCTGCCCTTGAAAGAGAGAGGGACAGTCACAACAGGCCTAGACCAGTGTCCAGTCAAGCTCTCTGTTAACACCAGTTGTTACCCTAAGAAAGTAACGTAGTTTGATCCTTCAGTTCCAGACTTCTCTCACAAATTTAAAACTTGAAGAGGATGATTTAAGAGCAGAAGCTAACTTTAATTGATCCTCTGGGAGAAAGCTCTCTTTCTTCACAGACTATAAAAAAAGCCTATGGAAAACCTTTCCACTGTAAAATCAGATTTGCCAAAACTCCCTCTAGATTCGTCCTTTTTACCTCTGTCCTACAAGGGAAGGCTGGCCCTTGTTTTCTGGTTTGTTCAGTCTCCCATCAAAGAGAAATGGATGTGATAAAAAAGTACGGAGAACAAGTATCAACTCACAACCTGCCAAGCTCCTGATTTGTTTCATTTATGGCACAGTAAGCTAGAAGACAGAAGGTGACTCTACAGTGGGGATTCTCAAGAAAGACAGGAGGCTTTAGAAAGCCAAAGAAAAAGGGACTTCATTTTTGTATGTCAACATTCACTGCCTAAGCACTAAAAGCATGTAGTTTTACTCATTTGAACAGATGCTCAGTGGGCTTGTGTGTAAATTACAGCCATATACAAGCTTGCCGGACTAAGGATCTCTTTAAGAAGACCAAGGTTTAAGTTTAACTTGGTTCCAGGTTGAAATTTCCTCTTTTGTTTGGAGTCTGTTAGCTGGCCCTCAAAACAGAGCAAATTCATGTAGAGTGGATAAATGTTGACTGTCTCATAAGACAACCATTGAATCTTCCAATTAAGTACTGCACAGGAATGTTATTCTATTTAAGCATTGTTCAGGATTTAGGAATTTCATACACTCTATGGTATTTCTAATATATAGATGATATAACCCTCCCATAGAAAATGCAACAAGCTAGAAGAGTAAAACAAAATCAAGAAAGAGTGGAAGAGAATAACAGTCACAGAAAAGAATATAATGTGGTTATACAGGTATTTTTGATGTCTACACCTAAGCTAGTCACTATAAGCTCTCCTTATACCCACTAAAGAAAAATAGGCACCTGTAGACACAGTGCATCTCAGCTAATTTAGACATATACCTTAAGATGCAATGAATCTTGTTCTAGGAGTGCCTGTTTTTCTCCACTGATTACAGAGAGTGTACAGACAGTTGCATAAGATGTAGAAATTTGCATCGTTGACATCTATATTCGGTCACACCAATCCCACTCAAGGTTCTTGATGTAACTCCAGTTTGCTTTAGATAGTCTTCCATCCCTGATTGTTATGCAGGCAAATTATGCTTATCAGCATGCCGTGTGCTGTGATATACCGAAGCTCAGGTTGAGCCACTTCCATTTTTAAGTAGCTTTGCAAGGTCCCAAGTTCAGTTAAATACACGAATCATAGTCATTACATAGTTGGAATGGGCCTGATTTACCTGTCAGGACCAGCTCCGCTGAATCCAGCTTGGTTACACAGAGGTGAAAGAAAAAGATGGGAGAAGACAAACAAGTCCTACTGCTTGCTGAAATCTTTCGATGTTGCTAAGTATGTTTTAATCTGAAGTACAGATCTAGAGAAGAAATGAATGAAGGTCCATTCAATGAATGGAGAGGGAAGGAAAAACATCACACTGTGTTGAAAGTGTCCAGCTTAAAAGGAGGTTCAAATACTACAAATACCTTGTAAAAATAAACACCTTTCTTGCACTTAAAATCAAAATAGGCATATCATTGAGGACATGTATTTCAGTGCTTTGTAGTTGAGACATTAAAACATTAAGCTACAAGATTCTGACCTGAATTAATCTTCGTGAAAAAGCTGAGATCATTGAAACTATTTGAGAGTTACAACAAAGTGCAGAAGTGAATCTGAACCATGTTTCGACACTAAAGCTTGCTCTCAGCTGTGTTGCACGACACCTTCTTGGTATATTTAACAGCAAAAGCATAGTTAAATTCTCAGGTAATTAGAGCAGTACGAAGTAAGGAGTTCAGAACGCAAACCACCTAAGTGATATAACCCTGCCGACCTCAGAACCATGGAGCTGATGAAACACGTTCCAAAGTCATAGGAATTTGCCTGGTGGCTTCACCAAGAGTTGGGCCAGATTGTTAAATGCCTTTATTTCCTGAAGTTTATACAGTCAGCGGGATCACCATAGATTAAAAAATATTTCTGCGTACCAATTTCCCCATTTTATCCTCTCTCTTGATGGAGTTTCTAAAGGTCCCTACCCTGACCATCTCTATTAGAGGTGCCTAACTTATGTGTTGCAAATGCTCTTTTCTGTGGATTGCATCAGAAGCTTGGATGGGCAGCTTTAGGCAGAATGTGGCCCCGCACACCTGCTCTTCTCCTCAACTCTCCCCTTACAGTAATCACAAAATCTCATCCAGGCACTTCTAGGAGTGGGATGGCTACAACTCTTTTTCCTTGAGCATCCGTCAGAAGGACTGGGAGACAATACTAAGAAACTGTCATAAGAAATCACGTTCCAAATACATCCTGTCCAACAGTTCAACCTGTAGCTACAGCCTGCAGGGAGCACGCAGAATTGGCACCTGACCCCAGGCCCTGGAAAGAACCTGGATCGCTGATTTCAGGATGTCTGAAAGCTCATTCTTACCCGTGAGCTGATAGGGACTTCCAGGTCCAGAAGAGCTTCCTGGTGAGTTGGGGTAGCTGATGCTGTTAGGTGACTGGGAGAACATGTGGCTGGGTGATGATGGAAAAGGGGTGCACGGAGGATGCTGGAAAGAATCAGGATAGGTGGCATTGTGCGGCATCAGCGGCTCGCTGTGCAGAGAAGTGTTTCGAAACTTGGCGAGAAGGCTGAGGTGAGGGTTAAACTCGCTGTGTCTTGGAACGAGTACAGGAGGTAGAACTGAAAATAAAAACAAGAACAGAAAAAATCTGGTTAAAACTGCACTCTTGAAAGTGTATCTCTTTGTAAGTTAAAAAAAGGCATATTCCATGATGCCCAAATATTGTTGTCTATATACAAGTCATTTAAGGGCAACAAACCTGTCCAAAAGCTGATTCTTGGACCTTTTTTTCCCCAGATTTGCAGCAATTCCATATGCAAAATATGGACTTATTCCTGACTGGAGCAAGGTACCATAAAATTCACAGGTACGGCATGCGCACACAACTCTTTTACAGAAATGCAAGTGGCACATTTCTCCCTCTCAAAATTACCTATTCCTTCCTTCCTTCCTGAAAGACTGAACATGTCAGGAGTTTGCTAAATATTGTCACCAGGATTTCCCAAAACCACAGCGAAGTTTGATAACAATTAATAGTGCTCTGCAATACACTGCATATTTTACTACCAGTGTTTTACAGATGGGCAAAAGGAAGCACAGACCTGAAGCTAGATACCAGATTTAAAAGGTTTTCAGATACTTGACAAGGCTGCCAGCCAGACAGTGGGATTTTTAAAAGGAAATGTAAATGGCAATTCAAATATTGCAGCAGTATTAATTTAGCTCTTGCAATATAGTTAGAAAAGATCTAGCATGAGGAGGCAAATGTCAATGGTCAGTAGTTAAGACATGAAAAACACAGGTCAGAAAACTGAAATCCAAATTCATCCATGTAAAAATTGGCCTAAAGAAGATATAACCTCTCTGCACAAACTCTCTTCACTTACATCTCATACTGTCAGTGCTGTTAACTGCATTGCTGCACCGAGAAACCTGAAGTTGGCTCAAATTATTTTGAATTCTGACAAATCAGGAGCGAGAGCAGAACTGGAGTCAAAACACTTCAGAAAACACGACTAGTGAGCTACCTATGAAGATGCAGCCCCTAGGCTGGAATACAAATGGGCTTGCTAAATAGTTCTGCATATGGGAGTTCAACTTGAGGCTTTAACTGGGTCCCCCATAGTCCTCACGGGGAGAACAGCACCTACAATGGGCGATTCATGTACCCCAAGATTTCTCTATTAGTTACTAGCTCACATAGCACCTAATTCTCTTAAGGCCTTAAACATAGGTAGGGAGAATGAATCCCCAGTTGCTATCACACAGATCTAAAAGCCACCAGAGAAGATAAGGAGGCAATTTGAGTTATTGTGACAAGGATGAATTGTCCCAACACTGTGAACAATTCAGCAGGCTTGTATTGATTGACCTAGTGTCCAGAGTTCCTCTGGCCTAAAACCCAGCAGCATGTAATCTTTCAGTCTATCCTTACTAGCTTATGGAAACAAATAGCACCGTGCGCTCTTGGTTATAAATGCTGACAGGAATATATGGTTTGAACGTGTTTTAACATATTGTTTGGGCCCAAAAGCTCTGTCTAGTTAAGGCCAATTTTTTTTAGGTAGGTTAGCTAACACCTTTTAATTACAGCAAACTCTCATTTATCCAGCGTAATGAAAGAATGGAGTAATTGTTATAAAGCAAATAATACAGAGATAATGCAAAACATGTGCATGAGAAGAGGCTGTAGGAACATCCTCCTTGGAGTGCACTCTCAGTGCACATCGACTGCTCAGAGAGCTGCGGCAGCGTAAGCAGGAGGAGGAGGAGCAGTGCCTGGTACCAACGGCAGGTTTACACCTTCTTGCTTGATGTAGCGCTATGCTGCAGCTGGGGCAGGGTTAAACCACACTCCTGCCCGTCCACTGGCATATACCATTTGGGAATTTGCCAGTCACCCATGAACTGGAGAACTGAGCCCTAAAAACATACAAAAGATTGTACTGATGACAGGGCGTTCACCGCAGAAGTTATCTTCTTACCTGCCTGGAAACACATGCACTGGGATACCTGTTAAGAGCCCATACGTAGGCCCTTTTCTGGCCCAATGCATTTCTATTTAGCTTCTGGCCAGCACGCGGATGGTGCTCTGGAGACTAGTTTCTTTCCTTCTGCCTCTGATATGCCGCTACCTGTGGGATGAAGATTTTATTGCCACCCTCTTAAGTCCTTTGGTAGAGAAAGGTATTTCTGCTTCTTTACCACTTCTTTAGCTTTTTGGATTTCCTAGAGTCTCCCGGTAGGACTCATATAAGCCACACAGGTATCCACATTGGAGATGCATTGCCCAGTCCCCCATGGATCTCTTCATAGGCAGTGGAGAGAAACAGACTCTTTTACTGCTCAGTTCCTCTGCTCTATACTGGGACAAGACCAGTACCGCCACTGCAGATGGGGTTTTGGCGAGCTGGATCCCTCCAGTTCCATGGTCCCGTGAGCAGCTCCAGGCTGTGAGCTGCTGCTGCTTCTGGAGTTTTCCTCTGCTGCTCCATGAAACTGGTACAATGCTTGCCAGGTCTGCTGCTGCTCAGCCAGCTCTGACCAGCAGCTTTAGAAAACGGGGAACTGGTGATCCCTTTGCACCCAGCAGAGGTGCTGAGCAAAGGACAGCTGCGCTACTGCAATGCCGTGCAGCGTTGGGAGGTTGGCACCTCGCTGCGCGTACCACCGCTAAGGAAGCGGGTTTCTTCAGCCCTGTGAGAACTTGGTGGAACTCCTTCTCCAAATGAAAGCTGAGACTCTGGATGTGTAAAGAGCACTTGCCAGGGAAAGCCTTTGACTCGCCCTGAGTGAGTCAGCAAGAGGAATTTTCAAGCCTTGAACTCCTTCCCAGCTCTGACCAGGGTACTTTTAATTTCTGCTCTGCTGTACAGTTTTTGCCACCTCACTCAATCTTTCCACTGACTGCTCTGTGGCTGCCTAGAGGGCTAAAGCCTCTGTGGTGGTGAGAAATTCAGAGATTTTCTTGTTTGTGGCTAAAAATTCCCCAGAGGGCCTTGTTCTCCTTGTTCTTTCAGTAACAGATGTCACTCTCCAGGGCTCAACCACTCTGAGGGAAGTGTGACCAGAGGCACAAAACTGAGTGATGGAGCACACTGGGACCTGTCTGTCCTCATAATTAACCTGTGTTGTTTCCACTCAATGGGATCGTTTTCTTCTACCTGCTATTCCCCACCGAGAGCCAGGGGCAGATCCTTCCTTCTATGCATGCCCAAGCGTTGATGTTCTTTGTTCAACTGAAGACACATTCGGTCATGTCCCAAGTCCTGCCACTACCTTTCCTGCACTAGGCTTTCTCCTGTTCCCTTTAGCTGCAACAGTTCTTGCAGAAACCTGGCTGTGTCCAGAGCCTGTGACTTCAGGTGCTAGCAAGCAAACTATCTGCCTCACGGTTTAATTCCAGGTACAACATCCACACTGCGATTTCTCATACATCAGCCTATCTTTGCAGATTTTACTACCTTTGGAGACCTACCCTGCAGTGAGATCCATCTGTTCCCTATGCCCGTGCCCATTCACAAACACCAAACACATGGCCAACACTGAGATCACCAGGTGGTCTTCCAACTGGGAGGCTACCACATCTTAGTCCTACTCGGGCTTGATGAAAGCAGTTAGTCTAAATCAAAAGTTCATTTAGGCTCCTGCTGTCTACAGCAATGGTGCACACTAGAATTTGCAGTATCTACACAGGAATGATCTCATATAAAAATAACAGGGTACATGTTTAGGCAGCTTCTCTATTTTTCTGAAACTGCAGCTTCTCGTGACAACAAATCATTCAAGACTTCTGACCAGCTCTTTGAGGCAAAGCAATGAAGGGAGAAGCAGAGCCTAACCACCATACCTATCTCCTTTAGGCTAGGTGGCCTAGCCCCTCTCTGCAGTGGGTGTTGCACGAATAGAGGAAATACTTGCTGCTTTTTTCTAAATGGCACCTGCTGCTCAGCAGACCTGAGAAGAAATCCGCTGGAGACACTGGTAGCAGCAATAAAAGCTATGCATAATCTGTGCAGTATTGGCCAGCACAGACTAGGATGTGGCTGGGCAGCCTGAGGACACAGCAGAGGCAATGAAACCCCTGAATCTCAGACCAGAGCTTAAAGCTGCTCTCTAGTAACTGAGGCCTAGGGATCTGCCAGGCCATTAAAGAAAGGGTGAGGCTCTCCCATCTTTGACACAACTCATTCATTCTGAATAAAAGTTAATGGATCTGGTCACAGAGTGGTTGACTCAGCAAGACAGACTGCAGCAATGGAAAGTAAGCCCCAAAAGGATGGACATTTGTATGAAAATAATACTGGCTTGTGGCTTATAAAAAAATGCACTGCTGACTAATTGCGTAGGTGGATTCTTTAGCTCCAGAGGATGAGACTCAGAGAATCTCACATAAGCCTAAAATCACCAACAGCCAAGATGCACAAGATTTCCCGTAGTTAAGAGGACTGTTGTTTAAACAGACCGGCACCTAGATCAATTGCTCCCAGCCTTTTCTGTGGTAATCCCTCTGCTACCACTTTCTCTTGAAGCTCATTTCTTCTCTTGCCTCATCACCACCACCTCCTTGCAGCACTGCTTTCTAATTGCCTCTGGCCTGGAGTTGCACTACTGCCCCTTGCAGTGGTGTAAGTTCTCTCTCCTGCCGCTGCCCCAGCACACCCGAGTAGGTTGTACTCCTCGCTGCACCTCGTCTTTAGCAGGGAGGTGACTCACTTGTGAGCTTCAGCTTCTAAGCTGTCCCTGTAAGAAGAGCGGTAGGGGTGAATACAACAGCCCAAGAACAAGTCCCAGAACAATTCTGTGAAGAACTGGCATGGCACAGCTTGCATCCTCGCAGCTGTGCTCTCTTTCACCTCCAAAGCAAGGTGGTCCCATCCAAAGTGCCCAAAGTCCCTTCTGTGGGCTAACCCCTGCACCCAGAGAACTGCTACTCCATGTGAGTCTGCACAGGTCAAAGCTGTGCCTGGGAGCACGCTGCCAGTTCAGCAATACTCTGACCTGCACCTTGGCTCCGTCTCATTCACTAGTAGAGATGTAGCCAATCTGCTGCACAGACAAATGATAGAGACATGTTCACAGCTGAAACCTTCTGAGTTTCAGGGTCAGAACAACAAGGTTTGGCAGCCATTTAGCAGCTGCTGGACTATCCCAGTACTAGCGTTTGTTAGCTGGCACTGAACAGAGCAGAAGACCGGGGCTGAAAACAGCACTGTGCAGCGCTATCAGCTGCTGCGCTGAGGACACTCCATTAACTGCACTGGAGGTACGCCAGAAGAAACGAGAAGACACTAAAGACCGCAGCCTTCAAAGAGAAAGATACACAAAATTGGGTATTTTATGAGCATCTTTTCTTAGATTCTTGAGTTTATTTTAGGAAGGCAGGAGATCAGCTCTTTCCACTGAAAACTGTTGACAACAAGCACCACTCACAGCAGCTGTAAAATTTTAGTTGTGACAATGTTTACAGCAGTTCAGACACAACTTCAAAATGACAGCTCCGCTGCAGTGGAAGGACTGTCAGAAAAGGGAGCAGCCCCTGTTGTTTAACAAATGTTAACAAATGTCCTTCCCTTATTTTATCTGCGTGAAAAGAAACATCCCACAGTTCACTTATCTGATCCTAATGTCACCTCAGAGCAAAGTTCATGCCAGACAAAGAGTAATCACAGAATAATAAGTATACACTTACCAACTGTATCCATTAGTAAATTAAATTACTGTGATTTTTGGCAGCAAGCGAGAGCTAGGTTAGACATTAGAAATCATTTTGAACTGTAAGGAGAGCAAAGCAATAGATTCACTTGCCTGGGGAGGTTGTGGAGCCTCTATCACATGGGATTTTTAGAGCTCATTAGAAAAAGATCTGTCAGGAACACACCTGGTAATTTGTTCTGGTTTGGGAGTAGGGGCAGAGAACAGGACAATTCTTCAAGATCTCTGCCAGCCCTGCTTTCTAAGATGCCTATAGAAGTCAACACTGAACACTACAATTTTTTAACAGCTGTTTCACTGACACAAAGCCCAATTAAATGACCCTTCAGTGGGATCATAAGTTTTCAGTGCTGACCAAGCCCAGTCTAAAGAGGATCGCCAGTGGAAAAATTCAAAGTTTTATGGGAACTTGGGGGACTTATTTCACATAAACTACCCATTTAGGTAAGTCCCACTGAAGGCAGGCCACCAGGCATTTTAGGAAGAATCAACTGACCTGGTTTCATATCCACCAAGCCATCTTACTGCAACTCTAAAGACAGAGCTAGTGATAGGTTTTTCCTGTGGATTAAGGAGTCGATTGTCGGTTTTCAGAAAATGAGACATAAATCTAGCCAGGGCAGTAAGTCAAGGATGGTGCCCAGCCTTCATTCAGATGGACACCAGTTTGCAGGGGGAGGGTTAGGGGGGCAGCCAGCACCCCCACCCACAGAAAGGAGGCTCGCGTTCAGACCCTGGACAAGATCCGGGCGCCCTCGGGGGTCCGAGGGGACACAGACCCCCCCGGGGCAAGGTGCTCCCGACTGCCTCCTTACTCCTGGCTGCCGGAGCTGTGATGCCACCGTGCAGGGAAAGACTCAGGGTCCTTCCATCCAACGGAGCCTGCCTTTTCAGATTTCAGAGCGCAATTCGGTGGGATGCACCAAGACTAGACCTGCCAGTGCAAGAGCTAACAGAGATGTGAATCATTTGCAGATGATATAATTACCTGGGGTTTCCACCCGCCGGTAATGGTAGGGGTTAATGCACACTTCTTTCTGTTTTGAGCCAAAGGGGAACTCACAACATTCCAGTGGTTTCAACTCATGGTGAGATTGCAAATCAGGCCATCGCCACACTCTGCAGTATATGACGTGGGGGAGCCCCTTGCGGTGAGACACCTGCAGCCGCCCATCCAGGGAACGTGGGATTGTGACACATTTACTGGGCTGACCCGGGCAGCTCAGAGCCCTTTCCAGTTCTTCCATGGCACCTTTCTTCTTCTTCAACTTCTTCACCAAGGAATCAACAGCTTTTTCTGCCCACTTTTCCTCTTCATCTCCTTGTTTCCAGCCCAGCAGCCTTTTCACTGCAGGGCTGGTGAAGGAGAACAAGGAACTGATAGGGGTGCTGGAGTGCATAAGAAGCAGAGATGACACACGAGTGTCAAGGGAAGCACCAATTGCTCTCCTGCCTTGCAAGGCTTGCACAGAGTTTCTACAGTATTGAGATGGACGCTTCCTTCAAGGAAAGGTTCTTCCACACATACGTTTTTGTAGTCTTAGGCACTGGTTACAAGTAGTCCAACAGGGTGGGTGTCAGAATTTTCCAAGCATCAAGAAACTGCTGATGAAGCCTGGAATAACAACACAATACATAGTTAGGCTTCACACACTACTTTCATTGTTCCTTCAATAAAATCTTTCGAAAGAGAAATTATTCAAAATGTGTATTTCATTTTCAATGGTTTTCTGTTTGTTTTTTGCTGTTTATTTTGGGTCCAAGCCTCTCCTCCACACTATGTTCCACACTAATTTTAGAGTTGGACCTCGGAAAGCATTTAAGTGTCCAGTCACTTCAATTTGTGTTTAGAGTTTAACGCACTGGGCAAGTTGTTGCAGGGTTGGGGTTATACTTACTACAAAAGAAAAGGTACCTTTTTTTTAATGCTGGTAGCTGTAGGTTCAGCTCAAGCATCTTTTATGAAATTAAATCTATAATATCAAATTTTATGGAGGTAATACGTAGAATATTTTTCTGATTTCAACTCCCTCTCTGCCCCTCCTATCTCACTCTACTGTCAAGAGTTGTGCAATACTAACTGCAAAATTAATTTAAAATTCAACTACTTCCAGATTTCATTTAGTGCCTTTGAAAGATGTATCACTATTCTCTAAGCTTATTTACATTTCCTCACGTGCAAGAGAAAAACCTTGTTTGCCTCGCCAGCCTGGTTCGCTGTCTCCAACAATTCACAGTTTTCTGGATGAAAATTACAGACTTTTGGACACGGTTTGTGCTGGATGGATCCTGAGTTATTTCTGCTACGATCTGCTACATCTGACAAAGTCCAACAGAAAGAGTTTAGTTCTTGAGGGTTTTTCTTTTTTTTTTTTTTTTTTTAAATGTAGCTGGAGCCAGTCTAATTTTAGCCGAAAATGACATATTTCCACCGACTGGAACTCTGAGGAAGAACGTTCTTGTATGTCAAGCTATTTACTGCTTTAAATATACTTCATGGACCCCCTGTGCATACCAAGTCCAAAGGTCTGAACTATACAGAGGGCACTTAGAGCAGGAGGTGGAGGCAGCTTCTAAATGGATGCCTCCAGAGAAGCAGCTCCATGACTGCCCTCCTCCACCCTTGTGGGAGGACTTGGGTCCTTCTTGCTCCCCATCAGAGGACATCATAGTCCTCAGCACTGCTTATATGCAGCCACTGAGGAGACAGAGAGATATTGCCCGGTGTTGGGGCAATCAAACCATATTATTCTGCAGTTTCCTTAAATGCACAACAGCTCTTGTAAGAGTTCAAGGGGCACCTGGGGACACCGAACGCAGGCACAGGTACAACATATTGAGGCAGCAGCCCAATCCCAAAGACTGGTTCCTCGGCATAGTCTGATCCTCTCAACACCACACAGCTCCGGAGCACGCTGCAGGGTAAGCACACATGGCCCAGGGTGTCAGAGCCTCTTGGACAACATGCAATGATTGCTGAGGACCAGTGACCGCCTAGAGCCGTTTTCCTCCTAGCCCTCCTGTTTTGTTCTCATGCCCGTTCCTCTGCCCCACTGCGTTACCCTTTAAGACGCCCAGCACCCTGAGAAATGCAGATATACATAAATATAAGGAGCTTTTTCCCTTCTTCCACAAGAGCAGCAATGATGAGGGCAGGGGCTCAAATTCCCCAAAGCCTTCCACAGAGCTAGGGAGATGGAAGCACCTGGCCCCAGAGAAGAGAAAGCATAAAAGCGACTCTTTGGCATGTCACAAGCCCCAGCAGCAGCTGCTATTCCCCCAAGAGATTCATATTCCAAGAGCCGGTGAATGTGAGGCTGCATGAAAATACAAACAGAGGGACTACAAAACTGGGAGGAAGAGCAGGCACACTTTGCTTCAGGCAACCACCACAGCACTGAGCTCTGCCTTATGCAATTTCTACATTATCAAACTATGTGTATGTCCAGTTGTCCTCAACAGTCAAGAGAGGCTCTTGACAGAGCACAGCAGAAATCCCCTCACTCACGCCATGCAGCAATCCATGATCGATTCCATGGAACTGCCTGAACTTGTCCCACTACACAAAGAGAAGCTTCAGATTCCAGATTTTTTCCCTGCTCTATATTAGTAAAAATCCAATGACCTGGAGCATTTAGCTGGATAGTTACTAATGCCTCTTAGTCAAAAACAAAGTCTATTCCAAACACTTAGTGGTATATGTGAGAATGAAATAAGTTCAGAATGATTTATCACAGGAAAAAACCCTCAAGCTGCTTGTAAAACATAATGTGGATAAAATTTAGGCAAGCAGCCTCCAGCCTTCGCAGAGCAAGCTCAGCCTACAGAGCCCAGCGCCAGCCCCATCTAGGCATCCCGTGCAGTGGAAGTGTCTGCTCCTCACTGCCCCGGTGAGAACCACCGCACTGCTGTCATTGCTTGGCGGCACCAAACCCCATCCTCGCCGAAGAAAATGAAACAGTGCTGGGACCTCTGTGGATCAGCCCTGAAAGCAGCAGCAGGAGGTGAGGAGAGCCTGGGATGAAAACCCACAGGACCAGTAGTGGTGTAAAAGTCTCTGCTCCCGGCTGAGAAGGAAAATGGCTCACACTTCTTATCTGGGGGGGTCTCTCGAGCGTTAGCGTGTGTAAACAACTGCTCCTGATAAGGTAATGCAACATTACAATGATCAGATATGAAAACATACATGTTCACGTAAAAGTATTGTCCTGAGATTTTCTTTCATTTTGACCAAGGTTTTAAATAAACACATTAATCTCTTTCAGTCAAATTAAATAACTCAACAGTGACATCAGTATGAGTCTGAGCACTATTGTTGCTAGTGGGAGAGTCGCCAAGACTATGTATATAAAAGCAAAAGCCGTGCTTTGCAGACCATGTGATGTAGTCTGAGATAAAAGTACATTGCACAATTTCCTACCATGCTCCCCTCCAGTTTCTTCTAAAATCTTTTTTTCCCCAAAAATCAACTGACATACAAAATATAAATGGTATTAAATAAACTAAACAGCTTTCAAATAATACTATTATCAGAACATCCTAGTTTAATGTCATTAAATTACATAATACTGCATACTATTCAGCAGACTAAGCCCTGTGTTGCTAGGTTTAAACACTCCATTATGAAATACCTAGGCAGCCACTCTGCTCCAGGGCTGTAATGATAGAGATGTCAATTCACAATTTAATTTTAACAATCTTTAAGGAGAGCAGTTGCCTGTTACAAAAGGCATACAGCTTAAGCAACCTGCTTACCCAACAGGAAACTTCCAACATTGAAACGTTTTAAAACCATGTTTGATGTATTTTCTGTGCTGATAATCCATCGTGTTTCTCAATGCTCATTGCTTTAGAGTGGCAGCAGGGAGGGAATTGTTACAGTTTTGATCCATATCCCAACCATACGTATCAAGCCCTGGGCCATACCACGATGGAAGTTCTTGTCTGGTCACCTCTATCTGCCTCAACAACAGTATGATGTGCTATCGTGAGTATGAGTCACGTATCATTCAAGGCACATCCCTAACACGATTCCCTCCTCTGGGACCACAAGGAAGGCTTTGTCTATCTGTAAGGTAAGTGACTGGTCAACACCAAACATGGTCAATCTTCCATGCTGTAAATCTTTATTCCATCACTGAGTTTAGCCTAAGGTCTGAAGCTTGCTTTAGGGAAGAGGCAGAAGACATGTAGCACGTGAGCATGGACCCACCCTTTTGTTTCTGTGGTCTGCAGGAGAAGGTGGGACTGGAAGGTGGGACTAGAAATCCTTCAGCCCAGTTCACTGACTCCATGCTCCCTAAATATAAGGTGCCTACCTTAGCTATGGCTACACTAAGGAACATTTTTGGGCACGGGAACTTGATTATCGATAGCATAAACTATTACTACAGTATCTGGAATGGCTTTGGTCTGTGCCAGTAGCACTCTCTCAGATAACTCTTGTGTGTAGTACAAGAGTTAGCAGAGACCACGGGTCACTCCTAATAAGAAGTCTGCATAGAGCCACCTTGTTTTGGAGGGTGAGACAGCAGTTGCATGGAAGTAAGCCTCTCCATCCCAGTTGGCCTCAAGGCCAAGAACAGTACTAGGAATGTTTAATTTATTAGTACGGAAACAGCCTTTCAGTAGAATTTACTTGGCCACATAAACATGTCCAAATTGTTGACACTCATATCTGACCTACTCACCCTAAAGTCCCTAAATACCTACTTGAGAAAAACATGTGTGTATGTGGCATGGACCATTCCACCTAAAAGGAAATATCTAGGAAAAAAAAAGCAAAATCGGGCACTGCATACAGCTAATGTTGGATAAGATGAGCCTCACCTCAAGTCTGAATTGACTGCTAGGCTAAGACCCAGCAACATGGACACAAAGGCACAAGGACACTTTCTCATACTCCTAAAACTGTTTTTCACCCTCCAGTGTAGAATTAGCCTGTAGGTCCTTAGGTCAATACGAAAAACATGTTCCTCCAGGAACTTCACTGCAGTAACTTCCACTGTGCTACTAAAGAGCCTGACACACCAAGAGTGGAGAAAAGGAGATGAAACACCATCATTGTGAGCTTAACTGTTTCCTAACTGGAGCCAGGTCCTGCTTAAGTCAGTAAGAGGGGGTTCCATAGCTCATGGAAATTAAACGTGCCATCCTCTGTGTCTCACGTGGCAGCATGCTGACACCTCCATTATGGAAAGACTTTGGGGAAATTTAGATTGCATTTAATGTAAAAAGGATCCACTGTGTCGGGGAAGACTCGCATCAGCCCTCAGCAGAATGCCTGTGCAGGCCAACACGCTGATGAAGTTCTCTCTAATTCAATTCCCATGGGCGCAGCTCGGGAATTGTACCAATCCTCGTTATACTTCACTCTAAGCTTTATGCAGAAGTCAAAAAGGAAAACCGCATGGATGCTAATGAAAAGAGGCTTAAAACACAGCTGCATAAAAGCGCAGTGTCCAGCCTCCCTCAAAACCGTACCTGTGCACGCGTGTGTAAGCAGATGTGTGTATGCATTCGGCCTCGGAATAACGCTCCAAGACGCTGCCTCCACTCAGAGCGCCTGCCTGGGCTAACTGAGCTGGGAGAGGGATGGCTCTTGCTCTCAAA